CTGAGTAAGTTAATGATTCTATTTAGGTAACTCAGTTTAGTTAAGTTAATCTACGATCATTAGACAATTTTAAATGTTACTTAATTTAATAAGTTCAAAGTTAATTCTTAATTTTTTTTTAAACTTTAATCAAGTGAAATTGTAGTTTTTCGTCACTAATAAAAAACTTTTTAGTTCGTTAATGCCCATTCTTGTAGTATTTAATAATTTAATTTCGGTGTTTATGGGGACCTCCAACTCCTAATATTAGTAACACGCTACGTCACTATATATATATAATATATATAAATGACAACCTTAATATATTGATCCGTTGATCTGAGGCTTCAGAGTTCAGAGTAATAATTTAAAAAAATTTTCGGTAGCATAATATGTTTTTAACTATTTACAATTTTTAGGAACACGGTCATTGGGGTGAGGTCTCTGGAGTCACCCYTTCCCGAAATCAGACCACCACCCTTATTGTGCAATCACCTGTAGCTGCTGTAGGTTCCGGTACGCTTTCGGCTGCAGGCGCTACGTCAGGTGTGGCCTCGGCGGCAGGCGCTTCAGCCGGTTGAACTTCCTCGGTGGCCCCCGGTTGTTCGCCTTCGGCCGGAGCTACTACCACCGCCGCTTCAGCTGATGGTACGGCTGTGGCAGGGTCTGCCGGTTCCGCCGCCGTGGTGGCCGTGTCCGCTGGTGYCGCCGCTTCAGTGGCCGGGTCGGTCGGTGCGGCCGTTTCGGTTGCCGGGTCGGTGGGTGCTGCCGGATCTGCTGGGTCGACGGGTGCAGCAGGGTCGGCCGGGTCAGTGGGTGCTGCGGGGTCACCTTCAGCCGGGGGACCACCTTCGAGTCCTGTGTACGTAAAAAACATAATAATAATGTATATAATAATGGCTCAATCTTAGCATTTTACYATGCTGTGAACTATGATGAGTTTGATTCAACAGGTGGTTGGTCAAAGTAACAMGGAATTAGGGATGTTGATCATTTGTCTCCCCCCAAGGCTGTTTTAAAGATGTACCAGTCGCCCTCAACCAAATGTACCAGTTGCCTCAAAGTTAATATATATACGATTACAATATATAGCCCGTAAAATAGGGGTGGTAAATAAACAAATAATAAATAAAATGTAAAATTATAGAAAAAAATGTGATATGCTTGGAATTATATAACTGACAAAATTATAAGTCAATAACACAATAYATATTATAGTTATGTAGCAACAGCATTTAATGTGATAATTTGTTGAAAAAAAAATTAGATATAATATTATGTATTATGTTTTGTTATAATAATTACTATCAGGTTTTAGATAATCTAGCCCACTGTATTCTTATTTTTTTTATTTATTTATAAAATCTTCAATTCTGGCTTTTAGTAAAAATCTTC